TTCTTTGGCTGCTAGCCTGAGCTGCCACATAGCTATTTTCATTGTAAAAACTTAAAAAAAACAATTAATAGTTTAGCAGCACCTTAAAGACTAACAATACATGTAGATGGTATCATGAGCTTTCGTGGGTACAACACACTTCTTCAGATGACTGGAATATTGAAAGTCCAGATTCAAGAATATTTGCATTGTGTTAGCTCAAGCAGAACTAATACACATCTTTCCACTCTAGTTGGGAATCTCACCTCCCAGTTGATGTGCTGACATACCCTTAGACGAGTGTTTCTCAAACTTTTTTTTACAAAGTACCCCCTTAAAAAAAAGTACCTCCAGTATCTGCAGTTTTCAGAGACACAATTTTTTTCTACTATTGCAACACATTTGTTTAAACAACTTAATCGTAGCCGGGTGGGCGATGACATTTTTAGGTGTAAAAAATACAAAAATAATAAAGCACTGTAAAGCTTAAAACAAAACTTCAGTTTTCTTCAAATTTCAGTTGTGTTGATGTACCCCCAAGACTTCTCTTGAATACCCCTAAGGGTACTTGTACCACTAGTTGAGAAACACTGCCTTGTGTGTGTTTGTACATCTCCTAGCACAAAGACGTCTCAATATCGAATGGGCATCTACCAAAAATTATTGCCACTGTTTAGTTATCTATTTCCCCCTGAAATTGAATACCATGGTTAGAAAAATTTCTGTAATATTTCCTTTATCCCTCTCTTCTTCTCAGGTGATTTGCTTAGAAAGTTGTCTCTGTGAAATCATTTTTTTTTTTAAATTAAAAGGAGACATAGGAGAGGTACATTAAATGCCTTTGCTCTGAACTAATTCATATTCATTGCCTTTTAGTTTTGCAACTAACGTTCAAACACACAAATGCTCTTCATTTAGGGTGGGAAAAAAGGAAGCTCTTTGAGGTATTGAGAATCTTATCCTGTGACTGATTTCACATGGGAGGACATCTGTACCCACATGGTGTTGCAGGTGCAAGATTTCCTCTGTGTAATCAGTTGCAGGACTTAAGACTTAAGCTGTCAATTGTCTGGAGCAAGGCCTGTGTTGTTTTTGCTTGTTTCTGTGAGGTGCTAGTACACTTTTGGACACTCACAAATAATTATTGTTGTTGTGGTTACTATTATGTGAATCTGGAAAGCCATTACAGTATCTGTGACTCAGGACTGAACTGATAATAGACTGCACTGTATTTCGCTCTCAGTGGGAATGGTATCAGTGGATACTACCATAATAGTTTGCCTGCATGCAAACCCAAAGCGAAATAAGTTTGCTCCTTCTCTGCTTACTCAGCACTGAGAATCACAGAAGTAAATACTGTAAGTCCTCACTGTTATTCTTTAGGTCAAAATTAGAAGTAAGGCAATGGGAAAAGTGAACTTCTTGATAAACAAGCGGCATCTTCCTAGCTGAACGTTGATTCTTGAAATGACCATAATTTATAAAAAAAAGTTGAACTGTCTGGTTTTCCCCAGAGCAGAAAAGATGCCAATGGGAAAGAGAAAGTAAAAATAACAACATTGCTGCAAAACTACTATTCCAAGAATTCCAACAGCTGTGAATGGTCTTTGTTCTCTTGAAAACTAATTTTTCCAGAACTTATTTTCATTTACTCTACCTAAGAAAACACCTTTCCATCCTCAAGTACAAGGTATGTTGAACAACAGACATGGATATTAATGGCACTTATTGAAAGCCAATAATTTTGCTTCAACACGTTTTCTATTACTATTATTGTCACAGAATGTTTGAGGCATTTGATAGCACAATCACATGGATTCTTCACCAAAGGGTCTACAAAGGAAGGCCCTGATCATGCAAGCTCTGTGCATGGCTAAACCTTCACACCCATGTGGAGCCAAGGGTAAGTCCACTTCATTTGTTAAAAAAATATGTTTCTAGCCCCAGTGGTTTCAGAGGAAAGCTTGAAAACATGACTTGACAGTTCCCTAGCAGCTCAGAAAATGGAGACAAATACAGTGAAACCCTAAGTATTATTATTTTAAAACTTAAAAACCAACAAATCATATGGTAGCACTTTAAAGACTAACTTTAAAGACTAAAGTTAGTCTTTAAAGTGCTACCATATTATTTTGTTGTTTTTTAAGTTTATCCTGTACAGACTAAGTCAGCTAGCCCTCTGAATTATTTTTTTTAAAAACCGCTTTATCTTTTTGTGGCCCCATTCGTAATGTTTTTGAGCAGTACTGCTGTTGCTTTTGAATTCACTGTAAGTGAATTTCACAGTTATGGTGTCACTAACTTAAAACATGTTCTGTTCACTTCTGGGGTGTCATCATAATAAGTTGCATGATACTGACAAATACTCTAAAAACAACAGTCCAGATCCTCAGATCCTGTAAATGAACATAGCTCTACTGAAGTCAATGGTGCTACCATGATTTACGCCAGATAAGCATTTGGCCCCTGTATGAATTCATGAATACATTTCAAAATATAGTTACACAGGAAAACCAGAATGTTGCTGCTGATAATACTGTGCACCTTAATTAGCCATGTTCAGCCACTATCTCAATACTGGAGGAATTAATAGAGAATACAATGTTGCACCCATACTCTGTTTTCATAGCCTTGCTTTTATCCTCAGTGAAAGACACCACACCACTCCGAACTATTTTTTCTCCAGTTTTCCTCTGTGGGCATAAGATGTTGTTTATGTACATTCAGTAACATAGAGCTGCTTATGTCCATTCAGCAATATATTCAGCAACAAGTAGCTAAAAGGAAAAGCATGAAATGCAATGTTCTAAATAAGAAAGGAGAAAAGGCACTGGGCCTTTAAGACAGCATCTACATAACTAGATTCATGTAGCTACATCAGTGCACCAGCATAACTAGATTCATGTAGCTACATCAGTGCACCAGCATAACTAGATTCATGTAGCTACATCAGTGCACCAGCATAACTAGATTCATGTAGCTACATCAGTGCACCAGCATAACTAGATTCATGTAGCTACATCAGTGCAAACCATTAGTGTAAAAAATGTCTTACGCACACACAATTTAACCATATCTCATGGAGCTTTAAGCATTTGTGAAATAAGTTGAGGTCTTCAGACAAACAATGCTAGAGACATTCAAAGTATTATTGTAATTATTTATCTGACATAGCCCAAATATTATTGTGCCCATATTACCAACAACAATGTTCTAAATAAGAAAGGAGTAAAGGCACTGGGCCTTTTAGACAGCATCTACAATGAACCCTTTTGCACCAGCATAACTAGATTCATGTAGCTACATCAGTGCAAACCATTAGTGTAAAAAATGTCTTACGCACACACAATTTAACCATATCTCATGGAGCTTTAAGCATTTGTGAAATAAGTTGAGGTCTTCAGACAAACAATGCTAGAGACATTCAAAGTATTATTGTAATTATTTATCTGACATAGCCCAAATATTATTGTGCCCATATTACCAACAATAAGCATTCAAAAATCATGAAACCAGACCAGAAAGATCATGAGACTGTATTAAAAATTCATATTTAAAAAAATAACATTAGGGTTTTTAAAAATGTACTTTCCTAATCCCTCAGAGTACACTTGAGTCAAGTTTTCCAGCTTCTCTCTTCAACCAGGAGGGAGAGACATTTTCTATTTTAAAAACAAAAGTGGAGATTGTGTCTGACTCCAGAGCTATGGCTTTAGGAGCAACATCAACACTAAGATGCACAGGAATAGTTAAAATTGCTTGAACATGCTTACAGTTACTCTATGGAAAGAGACATTAAACCAGCAGTTTCAAACTTGGGTGATTTCAGTCAACATTAAAGGTGTTGAACACGTTAGAAAATCTGATGACTTTTGCTTTGGGGTGGGATCTAATATGGACACGGGAGTCTAATTTTTAGGTATTCATGTTTTGATTGACTCATGTTTGATCTTAGATTTTCAGTGACATATTTTTCAAAAAGTCTGAGAAAATCCAGTCTGCAGCAATGCAGGCACCTGTTTCAGTGTGCAAAATCAGCAACTGTGTAAGGAGTAACTTATATCCACCTGCCCAGGTACTGCATTTGCTCCTTTGAGAGGGAAGGGGGTCTATCTAGGCAGAGCTCCTTGAACAATCAGGGCTAACTTTACTTATTTTACATAAGACAATTGCATGCACAGAATTTTGAATTTCAGACAGTGACAGGCAGGTGCATTTGAAGAAGCCCCATGTATAAAGCAGTCTCCATATTTATGTATATATAGATGGTCACAAACCTCAACATTCAGATAGGGATTACAATCACCAAAGGTCTTGCTTCTTCATAAAAAAAAGTGAGCTGGCTTCTTAACTGATATAAATCAGCATAGCTCTATTGAGCCGAGTAATTCTGCAACAGTTTACACGAGCAGATGAGCTAGCCCAGAAGGTCTTTGTGAAATCTAGATTCTGACCAGGATCTGAGTTTCAAACAGCTCCATATTTAGAGGACACTTGATTCTGAGGTTTTGCGTAGGGCCCATCTTCACAGACACACTTTAAAAAGGCTCTCCCAGACTCACTGAGAGACCACTCAAAACTTGGGCATTTAGAATTACAAACCACAGTCTATACAGCACCTGTAGCTACCCATCTCCACCCAGGAAATTGCTTTGTGAATAACGACATTAGACATGAACACCTCAGTTTAAGGAAACAGAAAATAAAAACCTTGTAGTAGAAAGACTTGAAATAGTTGATTCTAATTATAATCACATCTAAGCATTTTTCAGAAACAAATACACCTTTTAAAGACACCCCTTCTCCACCGGATATTAGTTAGGAGAATCAAGTGATTTTTATTTTGCAACTATTTTTCTCTTGCTTTCAGTAGGTTTTGCCCCATGCTGGGGACAACACTTGCGACATAAAAGGCATATGTGGGATGTGAATGATGCACTCTCCCTGAACACATGGGAAATTTCACCTGGAATGAATTAAGTAGCAAATCAACCAATCAATAAAGTAAAAAAGGGACTCACTGTCTCTTGCACTATTTTTTCGGAATCTTTCCAGATCCACAGTTGGGGGTCGGCTGGGCTTTTGGGGAGGCGGGCCCAATTTAAATAATGGCGTTAATGCTTTGTGCTTGGGGGTTGCAGAACTCTTGTCACCCTCTTCTCTCTCTTTGAAGCTGCGTGACGGTCCTCCCGCAGCAAGCTTGGCAGGTGGCTTGGGGAATTTAGGAGGAGTTGGACCAGAATCTTCCTGATTAATTTTATTGAGGGAAATTTTCTTGGCGATCCCTGGCCTATTATCTTCCGTCTTTTCCTCAACATTTTTTGGGACCTGTCCTGGGCTGCTTCGATTACCAACAGATTTCAGAGTCACTGAAGGAAAACGACCCGCTGGGGCATCAGTTCCATTACTGCTATTTTCTGCTGCTTCCCTGGGTAATTTAAATGACTGTATTTTTGGCCTGGGGCCTAGGGAGCCTGAAGATCCCTTAGTAAAAAGTGCAGCTCTACTGGAAATATCTTCGTGGTGGGAAACATCAGGGCTTCCAGAATGTTTTAATCCAACGGGTGGCTTAGGGAAAGGAGGCTTGGGATCATTTTCTTGTGATGCAGCAATGAACTTTTCTTTAAACCCAGCTACTTTGGAAAATGCAGGTTTTGGCCCACTCTCTTGTGGTGCAGAATTAAAATTTGGCTTAAGTCCTAGCGGCTTTGTGTCATTCTCCTGGGTGGTAGAGTTGTGGAATTTGTTTACAGCAGGTTTTGGAAACACAGGCTTGGAATCTTCTTTTGGCAGTTCATGGGGTTTAGGACCCATATATTTAGGGAACCCAGACTTTCCATCAGCTTCTTTGTTAGCTGCATTAAGCGGAGAGTCCAACTTCTTAGGTTTCAGATAGGGAGGTTTGGGATCCTTTTCTGTTTTATCTTCAGTAGAAGGTTTTACTCCAAATGACGGTTTAGGAGATGCAGACTTGTGGATACTGGAACCTGAAGGAGAACTAGCATTCCCTGGATTAGCAAATTTCTCAAGTGCAGCTTTCCTAGCCTGTAATCCTGAAGCAGAAAGGTGTCCTGGGATTTTGAAAGGTTGACTGCTAACCGAAACGTCCTCTGATGGGTGGTTGCCAGCATTAAATTTCGCCATGAGGGCCTTCACATCTGCCTTGCCAGCCTACAACCAGAAAGAAGAAGAAAAAAAGAGAGAGCAGCAAGTGAGAAGTCTTAGTTGTAATGTTCACATATACTGTATTTAAAAGGGTTTCCTGGTCTGAGGTTCACAGCACTACTGATTGGTTGAGGAGATATTGTAACACATCTTCCTGTATGGCTAAACAAGTTGACTGTTTTGTTATATCTTCGCCGTGGTTAAACAATTTTTTAAAGTTTTCAGTTCAGACATTATTTCTGCTGACTGGTTCTGTAACCTACTGCATTGTGACTGTAATTTCTGTTCTTCTTTTCTTTTTATTTGCAGAACCTGGAAGTGACACATTATACATAAACCCTCCTTAATTTTGTAAATAATATTCCTAAATAAAAATTAGACTTATCAGTCAAATTAAGCAGGTTTTGGACCTGTATAATAATATACTGTTATTTTGCCAACTATTTTGTGTTAATTGGAACACCCTGGGTTTTTTCCAGGGTTTTTTCTTCCTTCTTTTTTTCTGTTTTCACCTCTCTTTCTTCTATTATTTCTTTTCCATTTTGAAACTGAGAAATGAGGGTGAAGTGGTGAGGAAAACCAAGGAAAAAATGGGGGGAAAAGGGTTGAAATATGTAACCTTTAGCTGGAATTTCCCATACCCACTTTCTATTTTTTTAAGAAAGAAAAAGCGAAACAAACAAATGGGAAAAAAATCCCCAATAACCCTAATGCTCACTGCAAATATTTAATTTTGGTTAATGTTTCTAATTATTAAAAAGACCAGGTTTTGTTTATTTATTGTATTAACTCCAATACATTAAATATTCCTTGCAGGATCAAGATCACATTCACTATAGATACTATGAGGTTTAAACTACTACTGACATGCATGTGTGCATACATACATACGCAAAAGCCTAACTACACTAAAATCCAACTTCCAGACTAAAAGCTTCAATAGGAAAGGATTTCCTCAATGGGAAGGTAGAAAAAGTGTCACAAATAGAACTCTGGAATTCTGGCTCCCAGGTCTCTGCTCTGACTACACTATTTGTGTCACAAGGCAAGGTTTTTTAAAATACATGTAATGGAATCCTAGCAATCAGAGATGTTCAAAACCTGCCGTGTAGTGTGTTTGAATGCTGCAGGAACATGCAGATGGCTACTGTATTCCTTCCATTCAGTGCCTAGTAGTTTGGCCAGTTCACATGTGTTCATTTACAATGATCTCTGTACTCACACTGTGTTAAATGACAGTTACAAGATGAAGCTTGCAGATATGAGCCAGTCACAGAATCTGACCACAGCTCTTACAGGTGCTGGAAATCTGGCTGCTAATAAATACGCTTTTTTGTTGTTGTTATTGTTGAAATTTGAGGTTTGATTAAATAAGATTTCTGGAGCATCTTTTATTAAAAAGACAAATTGTATGGAATCCACCCCTCCCAAATCCTACCAAACTGATGCTGAGACGAATTGTTGCAAATCAACTCCTTGGAAGTCAAAAAGAAGAATGTAAGAATGACTGTGCTGGGTTAGACCAGTGGTTCTTCTAACTCACTATTTCGTATTTGGATGCTGGCCAATGCCAGGTGCTTCAGAGAGAAGACAGAATACTTCTGCCTTTGTTTCAAAAGATACCTTCAGTGGATGGTTGTTTTCAATGGAAGGATAACAGTATTTGCCATATTCCATCTGATTTAAATTATAAGGATTATTTCGATATATATTATTCATGGTAATTAGTTCTCCCATTGGTTGGGCACAGTTTGTTGCAAATTCCTTTGTGTTTTTTGCAATAAGCAGCACTTATTACACTTATATATGCTTTTAAAATGTAATAAATTATTCACCTGACATATGGCAAGTGGAATATTTTCACTATGGGGTTCATGAAAAGTCCTTGGGAATCAGAAATCTTTGTATGGATTTCATTGAGCTTTTGATCAACCTACATGTTTTATTACTTCATGTATCTTTTTTCCCCTCACAATTATCAAAGCAAAAAGAACCAAACCCAGCAAACCAGATTCAGTATCCAATAAATGCAGAACAAATAAACATAGCAGAACAGTACGGCTGTGTCTACATTGACACCCCTTTCCGGAAAATGGATGCTAATGAGACCAGTCGGAATTGCAAATGCCGCGGGGAATTTAAATATCCCCCGCGGCATTTGCATGAACATGGCTGCCGCTTTTTTCCGGCTCGGGGTTTTGCTGGAGAAAAGCGCCAGTCTAGAAGGGATCTTGCAGAAAATAAGCCCTTTTCCGGAAGATCCCTTATTCCTTCTTTCTCCGCAAGATCCCGTTTAGACTGGCGCTTTTCTCCAGCAAAACCCCGAGCCGGAAAAAAGCGGCAGCCATGTTCATGCAAATGCCGCGGGGGATATTTAAATTGCATTTGCAATTCCGACTAGTCTCTTTAGCATCCCTTTTCCGGAAAGGGGTGCCAATGCAGACACAGCCTACATGTTTGCTTTGTGGGAAACCAAAGCTTTCCCTTTATACATGCATCGTTTCAACTATGAAGCACAATGGCTATCAACTGAGAAGTAGAAGGGAATATCCTGAAAGCCTTTCAATAATTTAGCTAAATACAATATGGGCCTGTGAAGTGCTGAGCTCCTCCCATAAGGTGTGGAGAATCCCTAGCTTTTGCTGATTTCATTAGAGATCAGAGGAATTCAAGCACATAACTGGCCCTTTCATTTATACATTCTACCCTGGAGTTCTACTATGCTTTGAACAGGGAACAGCTCTTGCCTTCTTCATACATGATTGCAAGTTCTCCAGAGAAAAAAGGGAATGGTGAGTGAGCATGTGCAGCAAGGAGACGCAATTAGTAACATGCCCATTCTTACTTGTTTTTAGTAGTCAGGACAACAGAACAAGAATCTTTTTTTCTCTTTTTTTAAATTGTGATTTAAAGTTGTGGAGGCTTTGCTTGTTGTTTCTTTTTTGAGGGCCAAATTCTGGCTCCTTGTGTACTTCTTGACTGACCGGAGGTGGTAGAGGGATGATGTATTGGATTCTCTACAGGGATTGGGCCAGATACAGAATCTTCCCCTGGACATGGAATAGACACCATATCTAATGCGCTTCTCCCTCCAAAGGGACCATGGCAACCAATCTGGTGACTATACGTCTGTGCAGAAAGCTGCAGACAAAATGCTGCAGTTAATAATATGGGCACTTGAAAAAATTCTGAGATTAGATTCAGTTTGAATAAGTACCGAGATATTTGGGTGCCTGATATTCAAACCTGTTGGACTAGGCAGGTTCACATAACCAGAGTTTAGGCTATTTCTTGCACTTCCTGTTTACAGTCTAGTAGGAAATACAATGAGAAGCTTTTTGGTCTTTCAACCTCCACTTCCAGTAATGAGGGGAAAAACATGGTTTTCTAACTTCAAAAAGGGTTTGGTGTCAGCATGCTGAAAATTGTGCAATTGTGATTTTATCCAGACTTGATGATCCAGTTGTAGTTGCATTTCTCACAAAGCTCTATTTCTGCTTCCCAGGGTCTTGGTACTGCAAGGAACTTTGCATGAGCAAAACCTTGTACCAGTACAATCACTTATTTTCTCCAATAAAGCTCCACACTGGGTCTGGAGCCCACTTGTATGGAAGGACTTATAGGCCCAGGACTTATTTTTATGTTGGGGTTAGCAGGTGCCACTCGCTATTAAATTGAATGGAAAAGTATAACATTACACCAAGCCAGAATACAGCTCAAATGCAACAAAGCTAACAGGCCCAGTTCCAATCACACTGACATTATTAGGAAATGTGCAATTGGTCTTAAGTGGGAGCATGGTTTGTCCTCAGAAATGATGTTTGCTCCACGAACATATCAGTACACACTCTGCGCTCTCGTTAAAACAGAGATCATTTCACTTTAACTTCCTCTTCTGGGTGTTCTTTTTCAAGCAAACAGCAGCACTGGATCAATCAACAAAAGAACAAAGCAATTTTGCTCAGATCAAATGAGCACATATACAGGCACGCATTCCCCTTCCCCTGGGAGCGATACCAATCTTTACATTAAGCGTAAGAAACACCCAGTTCTCATGAAAAATACATACAAATCTGATTTATAAAGGCAAAGCCATTTCCTCATTCTGGACACATTTCCCACCTGTGATAGCTTTTCTTTTTCCTCTCATCTCTCCGTAACAGCTGGGGAAAGTTAGGGGCCATAATCAGCGCTTCTAAGGCCTTGTCTACACTGACAAACTTTGGTGACAAAACCCGGAGTGGGAGGGGGAGGCGGTGGCCATGAAGGTGGATAGGTTGTTCTAGGGCAGCTGGGGGTGTGTGGCGTGGGATAGTAAGTTGCTGTATATTGCAGCACGGAGGAGGGACGGGAGTGGGGGGGGGGAGGAGGCTGTGGCAGCACGGGAAGTTGCTTTTGCAGCCGGGGAGGAGGGGAGTGGCAGAGGCATAGAGCAACCAGAGGCTATATATCTCTGCATTATATCCATACAGAGCATCAACGTACACAGAGCTATCAATAGAATCTTGCTGGGGGATGGGGCCGGAGGTTTGCCTGAGGTACTTTTCAGTTTCCTCATGGAGATTCTATGGCAGGGCTGCCATTTCCCCACCACTGTGGTACAACACTCTCCCAAACCATTCCCCAGACTGTGCTGCTGGAACCAAGGTGGCACTGAGTTTGGCTGCATAAGGATTGAGGCGTCCCACACTCATGTGTATAAGCTGAGCCAGGATTTGCTTGTTAACCTTCAGCAGGGATATAACAACCCGAGTAATGTCAGACCATGGACAAGTGTAGGGTTACTACACATTGTTTCCATGGACATCTGTTGCACAAGCCTGGGTTGTACTTTTTTGAAGAATCATACCCAACCCTTCTTTCCCCCTTTCCTTCTACTTTTAAAATTCAGCATGATCAGAAGGTCTGGAGAGGTCTGTGTTTGCATCTAGGGTAACAAGAAAGGTGGCGAGTTTTGGTCAGAGATGTGCATTTTAATTAAATTTTATAATCTCTCATGAAAAGTA